GAAGGAAATCCAGGCCATTCTGGTATAGGCGGTATCTTCAGGGATGAGGAAGGTAGAATCATTGCTATGTTCTCAGGACCTATAGGCTGGGGGGACTCATTGAGAGCTGAAATCTTGGCAACTCTAGAAGGATTTAAAAGAGCTAAACAACTGAATATTAGTAAGTTGTTGGTGGAAGGAAATTCTCAGTTGACTATTAAATGGTTGCAGAAGGAAGTGTCCAGCTTGTGGAAGTTCTCTAATGAAAAAAAGAAAATTACTCGGTTAACTCAGAATATGTCTGTAAGGGTTCAATGGGCCAAGAGGTGCACTAACTCCATGGCTGATACCTTGGCCAAACAGGAGGTGGGAAGAACAAATCTTTTTTGAGCTATATTGTAATGTGTTTTTTCAGTTTGTTAGGGAGGGTTAAGTATTTTTACCCCTCCCTCCTGGTTGTAGTTTCTATATCTCTTTTTATAAAATTTCTGTTATTGATCAAAAAAAAAAAAAAAAAAAACAGAGGGGACTCTGTATGGGTTCAGGATCAGGAGTGTATTTTCATCAGCAGGATCAGACAACCTTTTTTTATAGTTGAATGATATTTTCATTAATCAAGAGGAAGGAGTACAACCAGCCTAAGAAGAGGCACGAGATGCTACCTCCCCTTTAAGGATGATTACAATTTTCAAAGCTAACCAGATTACAGATTACAAAGTAGCCCAATACAAAGAAACCCAAGAAACCCCTTGTTTAGCAAGAAAATCAGCCAAGGCATTTGCCGATCTGCCAACCCACTGAAATATGACTGTCATATTCCTTGTAAGCTAGTTAACTTTTTTAAAAATATCCCTATAGCCCTAAAAAACAGTATCTGAATCCAACAACCACCCCACTACCACCTTCGAATCTCCCTCGATTATGAAACTCTCCAATCCAAGTTGGTTAGCAATCAGACAACCATATTGAATAGAATGCCTACAAACATTGATACCAGGATACATGAAGGATACAGCTGGACAAGGGGGCCAAACAGTAAATATAGAAATGCCAATGAACCATCCAAAACTTTTCCAAGAATAACAGGAGACAATTAGCTTATGGAAAATGGTGTGAAAAGATTACCTGAAAATGAAGATTATACTCTGGTACAACATTAGTCTTCTCTAGCACAACCACCGGTCTCCCAACAATATCCAAGTGAGAATACTTGATCTGCAGTAGGCCTTACAAACAATTAAAAGAATGCAACAACATCCAGATAGCAAGCCAAGGGAAGATGAGCAGTAAATATCATTCAAAAGGCAATAATAAAAATAATGGAAAATGAGAAAACTTAATTAAGATAATTCATTAGTATATACCTCTTGCAATTGCATTACTGGAAATGGAACAGAAACAGAAATATCTTTTGATCCTTCAGGCAGCACAACCTGCAGTAACAAAAGAGCAAAACAAGGTTATTTGATCTGTAAACTGCAAGAATCACATTGTTTAGCGTCTTAAAACGATGATAAAATAGGAAAGTAAAGTAAACAAATTAAATAAAACAATATAAGCTAAAGCAAATTTAAAAAAATTTATAAGCTAAAAATATAGGGAATTGATAGCCACCTGTTTAGGTAGAAAATAACAATCTAGAACATAACCATCCCTTCTAGGGAAGAAAAGATCAATTAGTACATTAAAGAATGTGATGATAACCAGCATATATAATCACTTCTGTTAACTAGCAGTTACCATGTCTCCACAACCCTTACAGCCTAAGTTAGTCTGAGCAAACATTATGATAAATTTATCATCTCTCTCTTGAACATAATGAGAATATAGTGAACTGATAATCATGAAGGGAGAACAGATATGACAATAAAAGAATGCAGAATGTCTAGTACTGTTACGATTCTTCAAAAAGAAGGGGCAAATACCAAATTGAAAAATATGGCCAATCATATTTATCAAACAAAGAATAAATACTATATCCCTTGGCACACTTCAAGTCAATTTCTCTATAATGGTTATATTAGGTAGCAACAATAAAGCAATATGTTTTATATTAGGAAGTTACTTGCCTTCACAATGAGATCATCAATTACAACACCATCCATAGGGCAACCAAAAGAAAAGTTGAGGAAGCGCTTCCCTTCTGACTCAAACAAAAAGTCTCGGAGTGGTAACCCATAACCAACTGTAAATGATGTTTTCCAACCACCAAACATTGGATATCGAGGTTCAATTAGTAGTTCTGTCTGCAACCAGAGACAAGGATTTAGTGAAAATCAAAATTTCCAAGGGAATTTCTCCAGATCTTCAACCTATAAAGGATTATTTCTCATTTGGTCCTATAAAAAAAGAGTAACAATAATACAACATTAAGTGATCAGTATTTTTGTGCATCAAAAGAATTTACCTTTTTAGAATCACCCCGAAGATGAGATGTAGATATATTGCCAATTTGATCTCTGTAATACACAGAATGAGCCCGTGGAGGCAATCTAGCAATAAGATGCCTAAATGACGATGCACCTCTTACATAAGGTCTGGCTTGATAGTCAATCCTGCAACATAAAACATAAAACGGAGTGCAAAGATCTAAATCACACTATGCTTCCAATTCCCATATTGAACAGTAGGGATAAATTAAACCCCCAGAAAATACAAACAGACCTGGAAAATCCCCCCTTGATCTGAGCACCTCCATGGACAATGTCATAGTCCTCTGTGACCTGTACATTTCCCCAATGAGAAATTTCTATCTCTCTCACCAATCGCTGAGCAACTGCAAAGGGTTGATTGTTCTCGAAATGAACGACTATAGGTGAATATGAGAAGGGAGGAAGATTCTCATAGGGTCCATATCTGATCTCTGAATCTACAACCTTGGTATTATGAATTTTTGTATAGAATTCATATCTTGCACTAGGCAGTACAACACTGAGAGACTGGATCTTGGTTTCATAAGGAGATAGATAATAAGCACTATCTTGGAACATGACAAGCTGTGCATCAGCCTGAGTAATCTCCTCGGGGAATGGTTGCAACGAATGGGTTAACACAGCCAAGATGTCCAAAGTGAAGCTTTCCTTCTTACCCAATCCCTTGGGTAAAGTCACTGAGTACAGAGTCAAAGCTGGAGGCATTCCTTTAGGATGGACAACTTTAACAGAGAGGCTAACAGAAGTTTTGGATCTCCCTTTTCCTACATTAGATGCTGCTTTTAGATATGCCATGTTTTTGGCCTGGTGATCAGGAAATGCCAATAGAACCTCTGATACCACATCATTGCCTGTGTTCTCAACCTAGAAAACAAAGAGAACTTCAGAAGACACAAAGCACTTATTCATGGAAAAGAAAATTCATGAATGGTATTAGATTTGTTAGTTAATATATTTGCAAGAGTGACATGCAAAACATCATTTACAGCACTCATAGACAGGATCAATGAATTCAGTAGAGTTCACAAAGAAACTCATTTACATATCAAGCAGAAACGTTCTACCTCAATAATATGAGAATAGCAAATATCCTGAAGCAATAAAACAAAATAACTTGGTACCTTTAATGTTGAAGCAATCCGCACAACTTGAGAAGTCAAATCAATCTACAAAAGGAGATCAGACCAATCAGCCACAGATCAATTATGAGTAAAGAAAATTGAAATTGACATTTATTCCCTATTTAGATAAGCAAGAGTGATTGTATTAAAATAAGTAAAAATGGAAAAGCCCATAAAAAATTGCATGACCACTTTCCCCTTTAATTGAAGATTAACCATTGTGATACATTGAAAGATAGATCACGTAAAGTACAGAACAAATACCTCTTTAAGCTATTAACTTGTAGATTAATCAGCAAAAGATGCCAAAGCCAATTATGAGAGGAAAATTTCCAACAAGAAAGACATATATGGCACCAATTAAAAAAAAAGACATACAGGAGTTTCTCCCAGACATACAGGTCATTCAAATTTGTAAATCTTTTAATTTAAATATACTGAAAAATAAAGGCATATTTAACATGTGGCAAGGTTTTCATTGGCTGGAAAAACCTTGGTTGTTCATGGGGTTAACTCAAACATACAAAAATCTCATTCCCTTTGAGCACTATAGTTTGGGTAACAGGAACTGGATAAAATCATGCTCTATCCTTTTGTGGGACAACTGTCTTTTGAATATTGTATATCCTTTTTTTTTGAAAGGTAAAATGATCTTGTATTAATGGAGGGATAGGACCTCTCAGGCCCTCATGCAAAAAGACACTTACAATACTGATTTGTCACAGTGCATACCATAGTGATTATATACAATATTATGATACAGAATTTTTCCCAAATGTTTTTTGCCATTGACATTGACTGCTGAAAAAAAGTTTGCTGAAACCTTCAAACTCCTTACATATATGCTAGCCCAAAAAATGAGGGCCCACTCGATCTTGCCTATCAAAACTTCTGATGACACTCTCTTAACCTCAAAAATTCTTTGATTACGGTCTAGCCAGAGTAACCAACAGATAGTAGCTGGTATCAGTTTCCAAAGTATTTTGGTCCTTCAGTCCTTTGGCACAAATCATTGATTCCAAAACAGCTTTGAAAAATCGGTTTAAATGATGTAAGACTTCTTGAAGTAAATCAGCACACGATACTTTCCTCCAGTCCACATAGGCAGCACTAATTGTCTAGCACCAAACCTTTGGACAGCAAGTGTTCAATGGTTAATATTCTGCCTACATTGCTGTCCATAAGAAAAATATACTTTGGATGGGACGTCCATACCCCATATCTACTTTCAAGGATTTTTCTTATTTTACACCAGTAGAACACTTGACTATCTTATGTCTTAGATTGCTCCACCCATGTCAAGATTGGAAGCCATGTTCTGCTCCATATTATCCAGAGGTGAGGGCGAGCATAGCTTGTCCTGGAATTGCAACTCCAACAGAACCCTCAAAAAACCGGAACTGGAGAACATCTACTCCCTCCAGGACACATTCTTCTTACCCTCCCTGACCAGATGCATTTTTATATACCATCAATGCAGACCTCAATGCTAGAGTTCCATTATTCATCTGCAATAGAGTTGCATTGAGAGAACACTGTATGTCTCTCATGATTCAAAGTATCAATACTCTCGATACACAATATCAAGAGTTTTTCTTTGAACAAAACTCCTTTTTTTATCTTTCTGGTGTCAGATTTTGACAGGGGTATCACATCATTGCCTTTTAACATATAAAAAAGCTAAAATCATCTAACTCCCCTTAAATAGCATTTGGGGACCCAAAGATGCTATGCAATACACCCGTTATAGAGCGTATTGTATTGATACTTTGAACCTTCATCTCTCATTTACCCCACCTAGAGGTCTGTTGTTCACCTAGGAAGAAATATGTTTTCAAATTAACACTTACAACCTGTTGCAAAGGACAAGGATAAAGAACTTAAAACTTCACACCACATGCTTATGGGGAGTCAACCACATATCTCCTCAATCCTCATTCACTATGTTGTTACCAAATGATCATGGCAGTTCCTTGTAGTTTGTACTACATCTGAGAAGGAAGGAACAAGAGCATATTTCATAGCAAAAAGGCTTCCTTTCATTCGTTGAAAGAACAGTTCATGTGCTCTGATGCTCTGCACCCTTAGTGCCCGGATCCTTGCCATAAGGAATTCAAAGGAGTTTCCCCTGATGATCTTAAGAAAATTCTACTGAGAGTCCTTAATTCTTCTAACACGAACCACCCGCCAGAAAAAGTAGAACAACTCATCCTCCAGCAACATCCGATAATAATATCAAAATGCAGATCAAAGGTAGAAAATTCAGTACCCTGGACCAGCTACGATTGATAAGATTTTCTCCAAATTAGATGAGCATTGTATATTAGGCTTTTGTGGATCCAATGGGGATGCAAGTTGAATAAAAGCTAATAGCAAGTGCTCTCCTTCTAGTTATATCCATAACTAAATAGTCATATATCCTATACTCAGTAACTCATTGAGAGAGAAACCAAAAGAGTTAGAAGTAGTCCCTGGAGACTAGCTCGTTTCTTCAAATAGAATAAGAAAAGTTATGCTTCTCTTTTTATGGTGACTGCGCATTGATGAATTGTTTTTAGATAATGAGTGGATTGCCCTTTTGTTCATTTCTTGCAGTATCTTTACATCTAAACAATAACATCCGTCGGTCATTTGAACTTCTTCTCTTGACAAAAGGCCTAACAGATGCGTTATCATTATCACCATTGTAATTGTTATTGCACAATATATGACCTTTTCTTCGGTCAAACACATTTACAAAGATGTACTAGATACCTAAAGATGGATCAACCATCGACAATAGTTCTCCGTCTATTACTGAGTACGCTTATAAAACAAATTGCGTTCTTGTAAAAGATCAATCATATTCGAAATCGAGCAGTCATATCCTATAGCGTTAAATAAAGCCTATTCACCCAATATGCATATGATATATGTACATATATGCATCTTCATGGCTAAGCATAAAGTGTGAACAAATGTTCGATTCAACTGATACATATGCACTGACTGCTAATTTGCTAAACTGATGCAGGCTAATCTAACTCGATCTCATTGTAGATCAAAATTCAAACAAAGTCAAACATTTAAATGCAGCATATTAGAACAAAGCGGATCCCATTAAGGGCCGAAACACCTCAAAGTCGACGACCTAGAGATTGGCATGAAAGAAATAATTTAAGCGAAAACCAGTAACTCAATTGCTCGAGAAAGAAGAAACAATTGACAAAATGATTGAGTAAAACTGCAAAGAAATCGATGTAAATTACTTACTCGTCGATCGACCTTCGAAAGGATTAGATCAGATAGAACCGGTGCGGAAAGTATCGAGATCAAAACGAGGAAAAATTCGAACCTAAAACCCATCACCTCTTCCGTCTCTGTGTCGTAGACAGATTACGGGTGGACTGTAAGCCCTAGACCTCGCGAGGTTGTGGAGAACGCAGGAGTCCAGCACTAGCAGTTCTGAACTTGTGAAGTTGTGATGTGTTAAAAGTGGAAATTTGACAGAAGGGAATGGGTTAAGACTTGGAGGTAAATCAACATCAATAAAAAATCGATTTATCAATATGTACCACGCAATCTGTAACCATATTGACCATTGGATCGGGCAACACTTTGGCTGTGATAAGGTTTAACTAAACGCTTTCACTGTTTAACGGGCTGTCAAATCTTAACTGAACGCTTTGGCTGTTTAGCAGGCTGTGAAATCTTATTTCACGTCAGTAATAAAATAGATGGGACCCGCATTTTTCACAACAGAACTATAAATTTATCTCATTATTGCGTCCACAACCCGGTTCAACTAATCCAAATTCCATTGGATCGGTATCCTTTATCCAAGTGGAGCCACGCCTTTCAGGGTGAGCAAATTGTAGATGGATCCTTCCGGTCTTTAGCACTCGGTAGATCCGCATTACAGTATTCTATTTCCGGAAATTGAATTTACCTACTACCGTGGGTCCCAATCTTCAACTCCAATCCAACAAATTTGAATGTAGCTCGTATAGATGATTAGATCTACACCGTTAAATAAAGCTATGTGCCATGTGATGAGCGTGGATTTGGCCCTCCAATGATATTGTGATACATAGCATCTCGGAATAAGTAGGTGATACCCATAATCACTTTGGCAACAACTTGTCTTACTTGGTGTTCCACCTCGCGGCCTAGCACAGGCACTGACCTAGCGGCCTGGCCCTGGTGCAACCTGGCGGCTTGGCCCAGGCGCCAACCTGGCGGCCTGGCACAAGCGTCGACATGGCGACATGCGAGACATGCAAGGCGACAAATTTGACATGCATATTCTAACACTCCCACGATCCTTGGAAGTTGGCCCACGTGCTGAACGATCCAAAGGGTGGTCAACGTGCATGGCGGTTGCCTCAATGAATCTTGGACCACTTAGACGACTTCTCGGAAATCTCGGATATGGTGCGTGAAGCCCACGCCAAACAATGCCTATATAAAGGCACCAACCCCAATGACATGAGGGGGGCAAATAAGCATATTCTATCTCTCATATTTTGTGATTTTTAGCTCGTAGTCTACTATGAGAGTACTGACTTAAGCATCGGAGCGACCTCGCCAGGTTAGCCACCCCGGGTCCTCTGACATTGGTTCCTCGCATGTCCCTAAAGAACGACGAAGCTCAACAATCAATCCATCTTGCCACCAGCCAGCTCGGCCCTCTGGTCAACTCGGCACCTAATAGGTAGCTCGGCCCCTCTTGTCAGCTCGTCACCTAATATGCAGCTTGGCTCAATCAGCTCGACACCCAAAATCTAGGTCCTCATCCAGCAAAAGTTCTCCACTTCGGCCTCTGAGTCATCGGCCACTTGGAAGTAGACCAAATGACGAGGTACTTAGCCAAAAAATTGATAACTCACCAAAAAAAATTGATCCATCAATTGGCGTCGTCTGTGGGAAACGCTACAAAAAACTAAGTTCTCATCCTCCAAAAGGCTAAGTCCTCTTCTCTTCTTCCAGAAAGCTAAGTTCTCACCTTTTAGAAACTAAAAGCTCTCACTTTCTAGTTTCTATTTTTTATGAACTCAAAGACTATGCAGGAAGTTGATGGCCAACAGACTAAGCAGCTCTACCAACTTTATTTCAACTCGGATAAAGCCTCATCAGTCCTCTTCGCGAGGTACCCTCTACAAAGATGAGCTCTTCGTAGCTTCCGCAGGAGTAGGCGGCCAATAGACTGCATGGACGCCCCTACCGGTCGAGCCTTTTGAGTGAGCTGGTGACCTAAAGTCAGTAGTGCTGCCCTCGTAGGTCAAGCTCCTAGTAGCTTCTTGTAGGAGTGGGTAACTGACGTCACTAACGAGGCTGATGCAGCGCAACCGTAGCTCTAAGGCGCGACCTGACGGCCTGGCCCAGGTGCTGACCTGGAGACTTGGCCCAGGCGCCATTCTGGCGGCCTGGCATGGGCGCGACCTGGCGGCCTAGCACGGGTGCCGACTTGGCGAGCTGGCCCAAGCACGAGCTGGCGAGCTGATAAAAGACCAGCTCCACATAAGACTCAGTCGCCTCTTCGACATGGGCAAAATCAAAGATTAAGGAGAATGGACTACGAGTCGCTCCCAGAGCCTAAGGGCTAAGGTGTCAAGCTGATAAAAGACCTCGACACCACATAAGTCCTAGTCGCCTCCTCGGCATAGGCATACAAGTCCTAGTCGCCTCCTCGGCATGGGCACATAAGACCTAGTCGCCTCTTCGGCATGGGCAAAATCAAGGGTAAGGAGAGTGGACTGTGAATCGCTCCCAGAGCCTAAGGAATTGAATCGATGCTTACGAGCTCATCGAATTAGTCATTTCAGGCCAAAAAGAGCAATCTACTCCCTTCGCCGAGGTACTTTCGACTCGGGAGTGGGGGCAAATGATGAGGGTGGATTTGGCCCTCCAATGATATTGTGACACATGGCATCTCGGAACAACTAGGTGACACCCATAACCACTTTGGCAACAACTTGCCTTAGCCAAGTTGATGGTGTCCCACCCGGCGGCCTAGCCTAAGCACGACCTGGCACAGGTGTGACCTGGCGGCCTGGCACAGGCGCGACCTGGCGGCTTGACCCAGGCGTCAACCTGGCGACCTACGAGACATGCTCGGCGACAAATTCGGCATGCATATCCTAACACTCCCACGATCCTTGAATGTTGGCCCACATGCTGAACGATCCGGAGGGTGGTCAACGTGCATGGCGGTTGCCTCAGGGAATCTCGGACCACTTAGACGACTTCTCGGAAATCTCAGATATGGTGTGTGAAGCCCACACCAAACAATGCCTATATAAAGGCACCAACCCCAATGACATTAAGGGGGCAAGTAAGCATATTCTAGCTCTCATACTTTGTGATTTTTAGCTCACAGTTTACTATGAGAGTACTGACTTAAGCATCGGAGCAACCTCGTCGGGTTAGCCACCCTGGGTCCTCTAACATTGGTTCATCGCAGATCCCTAAAGAACGACGAAGCTCAACGATCAATCCAGCTCGCCGCCAGCTAGCTCGGCCCTCTGGTAAGCTCGACACTCTGGTCAGTTCGGCACCTAATAGGCAGCTCGGCTCAGTCAGCTCGACACCCAATCTGCCCCCAGTTCGACCTGGTTAGCTCGGCATCCAGGTCCTCATCCAGCAAAAATTCTCCACTTCGACCTCTAAGTCATCGGTCACTTGAAAGTAAACCAAACAACAAAGTACTTAGCCAAAAAATTGATACCTCACCAAAAAAAAATTCGATCCATCACCATGTATTGGATTGAGACTCGAACTCAATCACTCTCTCCAGTTCCGGATCCGCAAGGCAAGACGGAGCGGGGCTCCACAAGTGATCGTGTAGAATCAGATATCCTTGGACCTTGGACCCAAATTTGATTTGGTTTTGAATTTTATCAATTGGAATTAATTATTTAAAGCGGACTCATATCGGATTTAGACGTAAAATCTTTTCAGCATTCTGTCTGCTATCAACTCGAATTTTATAATTTAATAATTTATAGTCGTTTCTTGTTTATCAATTGGATTTAAAGCGGACTCCTGCTTTAAATCGAATTTTATCCCGCTTTAAATCGAATTTTATCAATGGGTTTAAAGGGAACTCATAAGCCACTTAGGGTTTGTTTGATAGCTGAATTGGTTTAACCGAATTGGTGATTAGTCAATTATTTAGTGGAACAAAAGTATTTAACAATAACCCTAACATACCAATTTCCATTCCTTAATAACCCTAACATACCAATTTCCATTCAACAATTAAGGAGAATGCCCCTGTTTAATTACTTATTTGCCACCTACAAATCATTAACAATTCAGTTCAGCTATTAACAATAGGTTTGCCAAGATTCAAAATTTAGTATGAGGAACACAGAGTACCTTTAAGACAATTTTAAAAAGATGTATTCTGGATACACTTTCATAACACAGAAATATTAAGATACACATGGGATATTAAATAATTAAAATATGTATCTATGAAGATAAATCTAATTGATATTAAATTAATAATTTTAATTATCAATCAAGTTTTTTTTTTCATCACTTTCCATTTTGGTTGATATAGTACTAGTAGGGGTTCATGTGATGCACTTAAATGAAATCCAAGTTAAACAACCCTTATAACATTTTCAATTGGGCAAAGCCAAACTAATTATTAATAACTAAAGGCTATTACTTGGTAAATGGTAAAAACCTCAGCAAGCAAGCATGAGAACACATGTTATAGACTTCTAGTATGAGAGCAGCCACGTTATGAAGGGATGGATAAAAGCAAAAAAGAATCTCTAAGGACTCGTTGGTTTTTTGGATTTCAAGAGGAGAGAAAGATGGTCAATGGGGAAAGAAATAGGAATGGCAATTTTCCCATCCCTGATGGGGATCTAATTTCCTTGATCCCATTCGGTCAGGGATGGGGATTGAGGTCACCACCCCACCCTGACCCCGACCCCGATTATATATATATATATAATATTTATTTATAATTTAAATTTTTTATTTACTTTAAGTAAATTTATTTATTTTTTAAATATTATTATCTAAAAAAATTGGGGATTCGGGTCACCATGGGAACCCATCCCCGTTGGGGATCGGGGATGAAGGACAAATTTTATCCCCAGCAAGGATCGGGGATGGGGATGAGGTTAATTTCAAAATCGGAGTTGGGGACAAGGAATATGATCCCTGCCCCGTTGCCATTCCTAAAAGGAAACCCATGTTCTTTTTTACATTTATCTATTTTCTCTTAGTACCATATCCTAAGTGGGTAAATAATTTTCCCACCTGGGAGAAAGTTGCCAACACTCGGGTGGGACAAAATTGTCCCTTTCAATAATGATTTTTTATGGTTAAAACAATCATTATCTTATTTACTTAGAAAATTAAAAAGAAAGTATTACCCAGATAAATAACTTACCAAAAAGCGAACAGGGCCTAAAGGATAGAACCATAATAGCCTTATTATGTTATTAATAAGAGAAAAGCTCATCTAGGTGGTTAAGTTTCTAAACATTCATGTTACTGACCAAAAGTTGATAATTTATAACCTGTTTGGAAGGGATTCTGTGTTTGTTGAGTATCAAACCAAGGGATTCTGTGTTTGTTGAGTATCAAACCACTTTGGAGAATCTACAGGAAATAGCTTCATCAAAAAGTGGATTTTGCGGCTTTTGTAAGTGCAGTTCCAACTTTCCAAAATTTTAACAAAGAGCTTCATGTCATTTCGGGTTTCTCAGCTCTTGGATTAATGAGAACTTAATAAAATAGTAAATGGTCTATTTGAAAAGTATGGTTGTAACATCCAAAGCATTCATATGTGGTAGTCTCTTCGTGATCTCATTGAAAATAACTCTCGTTGATTTAACGAATGCTTTGATTTGCTTGCCTTGATAAAAAACATTATTTTCTTTATTTTTTGGTGAACCAAAACTAATGATTTACTTTATTTTTAAATCAGGGTCATTGATTCAAGGCATAGAACCAAAATTACTGAAAATTCTACAAAATTTCATCAAATCTTAATTTTTTGGTGAACCAAATCTTGAAATATTTATACATAATAAATTGGAAACTTTGCTAATAACAAAAATGTGCAAAAGCTCTAWTTGCCTCTGCCATTCTATGAGTCTCTTCTTTTTTTGCGTATGGCATCACCACTTCCTTTGGCAGCATTCACTTATTAGGAACTTAATTTGAAAGCCATATTTCGACCCGGACGTTTTCGGGATGCCCCTAATAACCAACGAATGGCAAGTGCTTTTCCTTGTGTAGATCCTATTTCAATGGAAACTTGACGAGTCAATCCGCCTACATTTCTTACTTTTACTGTTATACCAGGAGTTACTCCACGTATTGTTTGAAATAAAACAAATAGTGGATTTGTTTGTGTCTTTTGTTGAATCTTTTTCACAGCTCAATAAATAATTTGATAAGCCAATTATATATATATATATATAGGTTTTTTTAATTCCAGTATGTTTTCACTTTGCTCCTTAAAGCTCAGTTTAGAAAGAGTACAAATGCAAATATGTACAGTACAAATACATACAAAATAATACAAAACACAAGATTTTATGCTCTACATATTTACATTTGTACTCTTTCCAAACCAAGCTAAAAGTAACATGAGATTGCAAACATTTTGTATATTTACCTGCCTAAGAAGTATCCATGAATTGTTACATAAATACTATAACCTAATAATATACACGAGGCTTCTAGATATTCTTGATCCCAACGAATAATATTGATCATCGGCTCATTGAACTATTGATCCTTTGGAGATTTCATAAGTCTAATCAATTTGTAGGCGATGGTTGTTTCTATTTACAAATGAACTTAGGCCCAGTTTGAACGCAAATACATATATGTACGTACAGTGCAAAACCTGATGTACAGTATTTCTTAGTATTCGGATTGTACATTTTTGTATTTGCACTCTTTCCAAACCTTAACAAATACATTTACAGAACTCCAATGAGGCAGTTACATGCTTGACCTCATAGGAATAGTCTAGGGATATTCCCTAGTCTGTCCAGTTCAGACAAGAATGTGAATCAACACAAATAGAATTTTATTTCAAAGGGAGGGGGGAGGGAATGACCATTCTTCAAATGGGGAATATCATTCCACCAGGGATGGGAATGAGATACAAATTAGGCCCAACCAAACAGTTGAAATCAAAATAACCCATTCTAATTCCATACCACTATTCCTGTGAACCAAATGGGGCCCAAGCCCACAGGCAATCGTTAAGGTCTAATTGGTTTCGATTCATCAATTTGTTCAATGCCAATATTTAGGGTCAAGCATTTTAGATGTAAATTTTAACGTGAAATCCGGTTTTTGAAAGTCTCTCCAATGCCTGTAAGTTCAACACCATGCTCCACTCGGTTGTATCCTCTTAAAATGGATTGGCTTCATTGCTTAATGGTTCACCTGCACCTTATGAGGTCAAAAGATTCAAACCCAACTTACCTAACAGAATAGAAATTCAAAGAACATGTCTAAACTTTGAAACGAACGTTTTCCATATTCTGCAAGTGGAATCCAACAGTTGATGCCATGCATCGAGTTTATAGCACAATTAAGTAAATGATTCTTCCATTATAGATACACAAAAAAAAAAAAAAACTAAACAATTTGAAACAGGTGCATGTATTTCATTTTTGACAAAAGGACCTTATTGATGGTCCATTGCCTGTATTAGAAAAGTATGAAGAGGTTATATTGAACCTGATACAGTTTTGGAATGGGTTGGGATGCTAGGCTTGCTAGCCTAACTATAAGACAGGTATGGACTGGTTTGAGGAGCTATCCAGCAAAATTCTCATAGTGGGTTGGGTTGGAGTGGCTAGTGAGGCTGTAGTGACCCACTCATGTCTCAGCCCTCATTATTAAGTGAATCTATTTATCCAACCCAAACCAATGGTAGGTGTCAACCATCAATGATGTACAGAAAGGAGGAAAAACCGAAGAATGCACACTAGTATTCCCATCAACAACAATTGCACAAACAGCTACCTGAATGCCCACAACTTAAATTTAACAATCAAAATAAATAACCATACCATCTGATATGGTCAATAAGTATTATCAGAATAGGAAGCTCATAACCACAGTACAAAGTTACAGCTTCAATGATGAGAATAACTGACATGGTTAAAAGGAAAAAGGGATTCTGAACAACCTTACGTGGGTACTGGGTACATCTCTACTTGTCAAGAATACAACCTCCCTACTATCCCCAACCTTTTACAATATTTGTGACAGTAGGTATGGTAAATTCAATTAATACCAAAAAAGTGGTATCATAGATACAATAAAGAAACAGGAAACACAGGTAATCCACGTAACAGGGGGGAGAATTACTCAAATAAAAAATTACCTCATCTGGAAGTAAGGGAGAAGAATGGCTTCCATGCAAGAATATTAATTCAACTGAGATGTCCCTCTTGTCACCCAACTTGAATTAGTTTTCTTCTGGTGGTATTATACTATTATTTGTAGAAGCTCCACATTCGGTTCAAAGGTAGCTCTAGGCTGCAAAATAAACATGGTTGCTGAACTTAACAATTTTTCTCTCATTTCGTTTTACTTGCTCTTCAAGTATGCTCCAAGATGTAATATGCATGTAAATCTTGAGAAAGTCCTCTGTGAACAGGAAGTGCACTCTTAAATTAAAATTTATACATTATACCAAATAAAAAACTTAAATTTATTACATGGGAGCAAAAATTAGACTAGATGCACAGAAACATGAAAAATGTACGTGAGCTGACACCACTGTAGCACGGACAGTTTCTGACACCATGTCCACACTTCATAGTATGGTCAGTTTTGCTAATTCCCTTTTGTCCATATCTAGCTTCTGGAGGCATAATAACTGTCCTCTGCAATGGAATCAATTATCAGAAAATTAGTCACTTAAAATATGTGGGCCAAATTACAAGTTGAAAATGAATATAGTTGCATTAATGAGGAGGAATTGATCGTTAAAGGAAATGTACAGAAACTAAGAGGAAAACTGGTGAAATAGCTAAGTACTGAGAAATTCTCACATTCCCTCCTACTTTCATCCCTTTGGTCATTGAGTACATTGCTGCTCGAGGTTTGGGTACAGCCTGGGCAGAAATAAGACCAGTTGGGTTGTTGACAAATTCAAGCTTCTTTTCTTTTCCTGGAGGAGCTCCAATATTGAACTCATATGGCTACTTAAGCATAGAGAATATGTCTGCCAGTAATTATTATTTACATATGATACATAACATTTAAAAGAAAAAAACAATGTAGACGGTTAGCCACCATTACAGAGTGGGATATAAACATGTTTTGAATGGAATTATGGTGGAATAGCCTGGTGGTAGGAGCAATTGGAAGCTATCTTGTCTCAAATGTCCTTACAAACAGATGGAGCAAGAGGGCTAGTCCAAGTATTCAGTTTCTCCCTCTTCGAGCCATTTGACTTCACTCACCATCCAGAGTGTTAGGGAGGTCCAGTTCTCTTAAGCTAAGTCATTAATTCCATTCAGTCATATGGTCTTAGCCATCATCTCAACTTCTCTCTAAATTATGGGTCAAGGGGAACTAATCCATTTTGGAGGCTAAGCAATAGGCACAAAAAACAAGATTGGGCCTGTGGCCCTTCAGCTGGAAAGTAAAGCCATTAGAGACATGCTTTTGGTCAAGTTCTTTTACATCTTACAAATTGTTTCTTGAAGAAATATAGATTCAGAATAAAAGGGTAATACAGCTAATCCCACCCTATGATTCTAACGCTGTAGGAAAAAAAAGATGGGCAGAAAAGGACATGTATGTTTTACAAAACATGGCAAGGGACCAATAAATTAACAACCTACACAATAATGTAATTCTCAGCTAAGAGTTTAGATTCTTGACTTGGAACAACTATAACACCTCAATATATGCAGTCAAAATGGACTTAAGAATACAACCGGAGAAAAAGAATTTAAGGATGTATTCAATAACATTGGAAAATCAAGGAAGCTATTTAACTTGGGGGAACAGAATATGCTCTACTTCTATTATAGAAGAACCTGGACTGTAAATCCTTTCTCAGCTGCTTGACACTTCCCCTCAACAAGATCATATCATCATAGTACTTCAGACTGTCAGCTGTTCAACAAGTTTAGATTGTAATAGATTATTATGCAAACAAAAAAGAATAATTTACACGATGTAACACCAATATTGAACATCTTTCATACGGTACCGTTATTTTCTAACGACATTGCTGTTACTACAAGATTATGTGGACAGTAAATTTTATCATTGAGGAGAATGACAGAAAATATACAATGTTCTGCACACTTTTGCGATCCATATCTCACATGTCTCCACCCATGTCCCTAGTAACCTCTACTAACTGACCAATTTAACTATTTAGATATCAAAAAAAAAAAGTGAACATGACAGCAGAGATGCTTTAAGAACAAAATCTCACCAGATTCTAAATGCAAGAGATGTTCAAACTGAGAGGAAAAAGAAAACCAATGAAAGAAGACATTAATCCAACTCATTATATTCCTAGAAGAACAAAGTATCTCCACAGCAGACATTTAAGGCATTCTAGAGGAAGGAAACTGGTTAATCTGTGAATCACTTGGAACAAACACAGGAAGCTGCCCCCCTCTCTCTACTCGACACTGATTATGACTTGAAGTAGACCCTCTCTCCATAGATGGGGGCACAGATGAACCTCCACTTCTGACACTTCTGCCTAACTGTTCATTAACAAGAGGCCCACCAAAGAATATGGACTGGCCTGTGTACAAAAGCTCTGTCCCAGGACCCTGAGAAGAGAACCCAATATTTCTGGAAGTTGTGGACACAAAGCGTCCAGCTTCTTGATCCCAGAAAACTGATGATCTAGAGTTCTCTGCAGCAGCCCTGTTGTTTTTCTTGACCAACTCTTGTGCTAAATTATCCTGAAGAGCAATTTCATTCACATCACTTGCTTTGGTTGATAAAGGAGACTGATCTGCTGAAGACTGATATATTGGATTGAAGTGTTCCCTGTTAGAAGTATGTGGCTGTAATGAAGAAGAGGTGGCATTGTTAGTGTGGCTAGGACTGCTGAAGTTGCTAATGCTATGACCGCATGTTTCCAGATCTTCCCTGCTGGCATGACTTGGAGGATAAGAACTCTTGAGAGGAGATAACATCAAAGTCCCTGCTCTAGCATCTCTGTTATTGAATCCATGATCAGAAATGATTGGACTGCTTCTGCCACTTAAATTGCCACTAGATGAATGATCACCATCATATGGAGGATGATAAGAATTTATTGGCCGTAGTACAGAGGATGAAGCTCTAGCTTTTGCGGCTGCTTTGATTGCCTCATTGGAATCCAACTTTGCAAGCTTCCATGCACTGATTCGAACTGGGCGTTGGGCCAATCTTTTCCCTTTATCAGATGATTCAACAGCATCTGGATCAACTGTGGATGGTACACGTCCTGGACCCAAATGTGGGACTATTTCATCCTGTTTGATTGGTAACAGATACAAGCACTAAGCTTTTATTTTTTAAAACACATTACTTACAATCAAAGTATATAATAAAGATACATTAACCAAGAAACCTTGGGAAATAAAACAAATAACTGAAGAAGAAGAAGAAGAAGAAGAAACACAGAAGAAAAAAATTCACTATGGCAGTATTTTGGGATCCTTGACCAGACATTTAACATGATCAAGAAATCTAAGCAAATAGCCTTAACTAACCAATATTATGGTATTTACTTTTGACCAAAGAGTCTGGAAGCCTCTCGACAGCTCGGATCTTTTGTATGTACTGAGAATATGGCAGCATTGCCCTAAAGAAACATATGATGAAACAGCAGAACTTTGAGCAGTATAATTTTGTTCCCCAAAACTTTTTTATAGCTAATGGTACAAAAGGCACACCAAGACACTTTTATGCATCTTGAGGTGAAATAGCACTACAACGCAAGTTGTGTAATACCAACTAAATCTGCATTTTTAGATTAATATAATACCTGATGATCCACGAAAATTCTTGGAGGTGTACACCAAGCACCTTTGTATTGCAAGCCTAGTCCAAGAGAGCTTCTTCCACTAATAGCAGTTACAGCCGAACTGGTTGGTGAGGATGGCAAGCTTTGCTGGTCTCCTCCATCTACAGATGGCCCAGGTGGTTCGCTTTGTGTTCTCATGGCTACGACATACTCATATGTTGTAATACCCTGTTGGAAGGACAGAAAGAACAAGAAGAAAATCATAAATTCCCCTTTCTTTTATTTAGGTTTTAAAAGGATACACCATTTTTATGTAAATGTTTAAAAAAAATGCACCTTACGAATCAACAGCATATGGAAAAAGAATAATTCACCCAAGGGCACAGTGGCCAGAAAAGAAACAGCTGTACATATGGCCTGAAACCAAAAAAAAAAAACTTGTCAGTTGTCACAAGAGGTATCGCAAAATGATTTCAAGATTAGTAATAGAAAGAGCATAGACATCCTCCCTTTTTTCTTTGAAATAAAAGTTATCTTTTCTTAAAAAAAAAAAAAAAGAGCATAGAAAAATACTATCGGTAATATCTTCTTTTCCTTCTCCTTCAGACTGCATATCATATTCACAGAAACATGCAGCTCTGGAACACATCTTTAAAGTGGATGAATTGATGCCAACTTTCCGAAAACAAATAAGAACTACCATTAGGTAGAAAGTGAGTATAGTACCAATGGGATTAACACACCTGGTTTTATGTAGGGGGTGGGCACAGGACAACCATTTAATTGGAGTCATGCTGCTAGATATGATACTGATATGGGATATATGGAACTTACACTAAAACCCAAGTATCCGACATAGAAATGGAACCCATTTTGATATGTCCTGGTAACAAGCACACATTTGGTCCTGATATATTCTGTTAATTGGCAAACACCTCCCCTCCCCCAACAACAATAACAACAGGATAGGCTTATTTATCTAAAAAACAACATAATAGGCTTTCACATATCATTTTGTTGGTGGACTTTCCCAACTACAAGATACATATCTCAGATTTTTCTCTTTCGACAAAATATTTATAGCTATATTAGACAATAGACAAGAAAAAATTCACAACACAGAAACATGGAAATGATTTAACAACATACCACCACTGTAGCAAATGGGGGCCTAGAGAAACCAACTCCAAGCCTCTCAATGATCTGATTTTCAATACCTTTTCTATCAACAAAGCACCTAACAAGGACTGCAATACCAACCCCAAATTCAACTATAAGCTGCCACACAACAATAAAGAATAAACATCAATAATCTACATTTCGGAGGAGAAAAGGAAAATGGAAAAACTTAGTCCAATGGATGATGGAAAAGGAAATTTTAAATTAAAACCTTATATATAATACCTACCCAAACAAGGCTCGCTGCCATCAGGCATACAAATGTGATGTAGTTTTTCCTCCCCACACAATTATTTAACCACTGCACCAAAAAGACCGGCTGTTATTTGACATCCACACATAAAGACAACAAAGAGTCTAAAATCTCCTAGTAAAAATATCAATAAGATAGTTGTCCCAATCATCAGATATATAATGTTGCTTGTGGACTTTTTTATTGGTATTATTTATGGACCATTCTCTAGATCTTTCTCAAAATCAGAAGGAACATGATAAATGGAGAAAGAATACATTCCTATTGACTTGACTCCTAGGTGGGAAAAATCAACTAAGGGTCCTGCCCTGAGTAAAGCAGCTTAGCTCCCAAGGTTGCATACCCGACAATGATGATCAAATCCATCAACACATTTGTCACAACTTCTGCAGTGTTTACTGAATTTACGCACCTGCAAAGATAACAGAACATATAATTGCTTTTTTCCTATTATTTTACACTAAGAGTATAAATTAGCAGATATAGTCTTTTATTTCAAGGTTGCAATAATGCAGCAACAACCTCTGACCACCATGGACTGAAGGAGCAATTTGACTATTCTCTCAACTAAGCTTTCAAACTGGATGAAAGACATGTTTCCATGCATAAATTCATTTTGGATTTGAACAAATAGCTTATAAGCAAAAAATTAAAAGCTTGTGATTGTGTAGAGCACCTGAACAAGATGTTCCAGCCCCCTGACAAAAATGATGGAGGCTCCATGGGTCCTCACAACCATCTACATTCACCGAACAACCAGTTGACCACTTGTTTATACTAACACTTTTTATTACACCTAGTAGATTTTAATAGACTGCAACAGATGAGAACTACATTTAGCAAAGATGAGAACATAATGCCAGTATTGTGAAATTCATCTGGAATCGTTTCATTTACAATGCATTTTACCATGAACAGAAGTGCAACTAGGAAAAAAACCTCTGTTTCATTTTCAAAAGATGGAAAATATTTTGTTACAAATTATTTCCGCATGAGATACATACAGAACAATAACCAATACTGAGGTAATGGACAGCTCATACTCAACACTCAAAAGTTAGAGAGTCCCAGCCAAAGTCAACAAACAACTGAGACAATTGATATGCTATCAAGTTACAGAACTCCATCCAGAGGTATCCTTCAGAAGTAATGATGAGTTGAGATGATTTGTCCATGGTAAAGATGTATTTTCCAATCTGTCTGACTAAAGAAATTAAGCATATCTTGGCCTCAGTTCATATTTAGTGCCCGCTTGGAGGGGTTTTCATGCAGTGGCTTCTGGCTTTGTGGGGTGGGCCCCACCCAGATAGCCTATAAGCTATGTTTAGTGAAAACCCCAGAGAACCTCAAATGACTTTCTGGAAGCCAAAAACATGGCTTTCCACTCAAGTTTTAGTGCCTTCTCCAAAGCAGCTCAGACAACACTTTAGCCCTCCTAAACAGGCCCTTAATTGAGCACCAGATAGGACCTTTCAAGTTAAAAAGAAAAAAAAAATTATGGAGCAGTCTCATTTTTCAGGTTTTGAGCATCTACCCAATTGAGATTGTTGGCTTTGGATGAGTGATAAATCATTTATCTAGATTTTATGGGTATGCTATTGAATTTTGTGAATTACAATGAAAAACCAAGGCACCTCCTAGCTCCTCTGGCATTGAGCAAGTCAATTTTTCAGTTTTCTGATGTTAAATAAGTATTCAAATTCAGGTTTACTAACACTACACTGTCCATCAGGCAAATGAAAGTAACTTCTGTGGAAAGCATTTTATACCTCAGCATTGCACAATGTACAGAACAAAGCATCTTCCTCGCCAGATTGTTGCTGCACAAGATCTTCATCATTCCGGCAATCTTCTTTTACCACAAGACAACAGAAGCAGCCAGCAAGTTTTGAACAACTTGACATATGGCCATAAAATTTTTCTCCATTCTTCTTGCTAGGCTCTCCATCTGGAGCTGTGTTCCCTGATTGCATACATGAAGTTTATACAAACTGTAAAAGATAGAGGATGAAACAAAAAGCCGGAGTTCTTGCCTCTGCTATCCATGTGCATAAAGCAATGGAAGGCAAAATTCTGTCAATCTGTTAGAGTGGTGCCAGTCTCATCCAATAAGGCTGGTATTTGGACAATTTCTTACTGGCACCATCTGAATGATGGACTGAACCTCTCTGAACTTGTTAACTTCTTTAATCTGAATATTTTAAAGAAAAGGTTAAACCACTAACCAGGCAAATCATTGTTATCATGAGACCTATAGGTAGATGTCTTGTCGCCACTGATCAGAATTCCAGGATCAGCTGGATCAATAGCTGTGCATCTAACGTAGAGAATAAATACAGAAAGTGCCTGAAATAATCAAACAAGAAGTTTAATATGGAACCAGAAATAATGTTCTATACCTAGCAAGAGTAAACTTACCAAAAAAGAGTAAACACCAATAGCCACATATTCATAAATTTCCCTTCCAAGAAATGGAGCAAAAAACGCATAGAATGCAACAGATAGCAAGAAAAACACCGTTATAGCCACAACCTGAAGAACCAGAAAAGTTAGGAATGATAATGTAAGCTTTTATAGTAACTAAACATCTAAACCATAGAAGAACATCCAATAGTTGACAGAAACAGAATGAATGGAGTAAACACCATAGAACCCAGCAGTTCACAAATATTGGAATCTTGATACCATGTTATTAAACCACAAAATAATTGAAAACATACTTACTCTGCTCCGATAATTGGCAATTTTACCCATCTTAAAATAAAAATGTCAAAAGCAATAGACAATTTCAACTTATGCCATGTAACCCCATTTCAAATCCTACTTGTATTAAAAATGAGAGCAAGTGGCTTTAATACCATTCATTGCATTGAAAAGAAGATCAATTATTATAATCACCAAGTATATATATATATATGCTTTATTTGTTCTTCTAATCAGCAACAAGGATTTATCATGTTAGGGACTTAACGTATCATGCTCCTCCTTATTTCCAAAAAAAATAAAGATAGAAAGTATGCATCCAGGGAATTATTTGCCTAGGAAAAAGGAAAAAAGGAAAGGAAAGGCATAACTTCACAGAAATAGGCCCGTAACTGAAATCACGAAGATAATTCCTAAAGCGATCAACAATAGTGTGGGCAACCGAAGCTCTTAAATACAAGTCTCCTTAGTCATACTCTCGCAAATGTTCTCTAAGAGTGCCATAAGCAACTACATTTAGCTCTATTTTGCTAGAAATAATGGCACAGTGTTTTCAAGATGATCAGAAAGTGGTGTTGGACTTCTGCTGATAGATACATGGTACATCAAGTGACAAGATTTCACAAACACTACATCCATACGAAGAAGTCTATATTTTAATGTAAGATCCTCTTACTCTTAATCATGTGCTGGCTGATGTGAAAAAAAAATAGAGAGAGAGAGAGAGAGAGAGAAATGATAGTGTCAAAGTTATTCGAGGTTGTTAAATTTCCATTTTATTGAATCAAAGTGCATACGACAAAACAAAACAAGCGGCGTAAAGTAGGATGCAATGGCATAGCACGCCAAAAAAGTATAAAAGTTCCTAAAAGAAAACACAAGTTTTGCTTTGAGAGAATTGAGAACCGGAGCCTATTGCTACTAACTCACACAAAGAAAAGCTACATAGCCAATCAAAAACTCTGTAACGATGTCCACACTGCGAGATTTCCTTGGAATGTCCTAAGAGCAGAAATTTCAGAAGAAAGGCGGTAAGGCTTTAATATAAAGATGGGAGAGAGAGAGGAGGGGGCTTCATAAATATAACTTTCTGTAGCGAAATCCTCTGTGCTCTGGGAAGTTAAAACAATTCAGCAGCAAGAGGGGGTGGACAAAACAAATAATCTCCAACAATCAAAAGACTTATCTACATTGCAGAAACTATTCAGCGGAAAAAGAAAAAATAAATAAAAGTTGTACAATGTACCTGAAACGTGTGAGCAGGGAGCTGCCATCCATGACGCCTCACCATGACTAAAAACCAAGTAGTGACGTGTAAATTAACAGCATTTACAATTGAAGATGACCGTAAGAACTTCTTTAGACGGAAACTGAGAACAGAAATCTGATTCAAGCTCTTAGAGCTAGTAACCAGAGCCGATCTGTTCTACTTAACCCTTTTCTTCAGTATCAGATCAAACAACAACCAAGCTCCAAATAGGTTTTGGGAGATTTCAATCTCGACTTAGATGTTCAAAAGCAACCTCAAGACGACAGACGAGCTTTATTTTCACTTTTTAGGGTTTTCAGAGCTGGAGTCATCGATCGAGGAGCCATGGAAATAGTAGTAGAAGAAGGAAGAAGGTCTGGTGTAGTTTTACCATAGTATCCAATAATGTGTTTTTTCACCTCAACGATTTTATCCTACATTTCTGTTATTGGATAGAGAGAGTGAAAATAGGAACTAACTCACCATTCACCAAGCCCGTTTTATTTTATTCTATTTTTTATTTCCGTTTACTTTATTAGAGTTTCGAATCCTGATAAACAAACTTACCATAAAAGTATCTCTCGAGTCGAGAGTCTTTGTCCCCGTTATATCTTCGCTGACTCTCCTTTTCCTCTGGCATAGCCATTTCATTCAACTAATCTATCTTTTTTTTCTTTTATGAAACATCAGGCCTCAGCTAATGTTTTGGATGTAATTGTAATTACTTCCCCTTAATTTATGATATAATTACAAATAGATTCCTCTTCTTATTAATATCCAAAATACCCTATAATTATTATTGAGGTTGGTTTCCATAAAAAACAATACAAATTTTATAAACAATAGAAAAGGAGAATTTATGAAATATGAACTAAGATTTATTTGAAAGAAATTTTGGAAATTAAACATTTTGGTCAAATTTAACTTTATAGGTATTTTGAACATTTTAATCTTTAGAAAACTCAAACAAAAGAATTTATTCACAATTATGTCAGAAAATTGAGCAAAAATTATTACAATTATCAAACTTTAAGGGAGATTTCAGCAATTTTCCTTAACTTTAATAAAAAACACTTTAGAATAATGAAATATCATCCTAAAAAGGCCATGGCAAGTTGAAAAATAAGGGGGCTGTTTGGCATCGTTGTCGTTTCCTGGAGCAACGGCACCACATCAGCGCCACATCGGAAAAAACGGTGCTCCAGGAAATGGGCATTTGTTTTGAATTATTTTTCCATAAAAAACGATGCTCCAAGCCACGTCTCGGAAATCGGGAAGCCATGGCTTGGAGCAACGCCAAATTTGGCATTTCCTGGAGTTACAGCTCATTGCTGCCAACATGGCAATGATGTGGCACTGAATAATGGGTTCCAGTGCTGAAAAAGTTGCCTAGAGTAATGGTACCAAACAGAAAAAAGTTGTTATTGCTCCAGGAAACGTTATATTTGGTAGCAACGATTCCAAACAAAAATAAGGCTCAGTTGAGAAAACGGTGCTCCAAGTCACACATCAGTAGCACCGTGCTACAACTGTAGCATCAATGAAGGAGAATAAATTAGTTGTGCCCATAATGGTTCCAATTGTCTGAAATGTCACGGACTCGCTATGCAAACTGCAAAGAGGATTGAGGGAAGCTGTTTCCAGGATTTCTAACTGGTTTCCTTGTTTCAATTTAAAGATTCATGATTTCCAAACAAAATAACAATAAATCAAAACCAAACTTACCAAATTAATAATGGATCTCATGCAAAATAATGGGTTTAAGGGGCATTCTATAATGCGATTTTTTAGTTGATTTCAAAAACATGCTCGCTTTTTGTTTTTACTTAGTGTTTGGAAGCGTGGGTGTTTTTTGGGACTGATTTTCAAGAAAAAACGCCCATGCTTCCAATACCCATTTTTCACAAATAAACGCTTATGCCACGTAGGCAGTGAGCAACACTATGTTGTTTGGTAAGGTGATTTTCATCACTGTTTTTCATGTATGTGTTGACAAGTAAGCACCACATAGGATACACATTAGTCAACCGTTGGGAGAAACGGTTCACCGATGCATGAAACGCCAAATTTGGCATTTCATGCATCGGTGGGATCTCGATTTACGAGGCATGCCCAATTTTCAATAAACGCCTAAACCAAACATTCATATATATGGGCGTTTGTTGAAACGCCTATGTGGATCCGACGTGGCATTGTTTTTTTTTTGAAAAATGGCCACGGTTCCAAACATCCCCTTAATATTGAAACAAAAAGCATGCTTTTCAAATTCTTATTTTAAAAACATATTTTCATCATATTATTTAATATCATATTCTATTACAAAATTCTTTTTTTTTGTTTCAAAACCAGCATTTAGATGGTTTAAAAAATATGTATTGTTTTGGCTCAGTTTGGAAGGAGCACAAATACAAGAGACCAGATCTGTTCCTCACACAAGGTGCCTCACACGCATATCCTACCATGCAAGATGTTCCCAATGCACGATGAATGTGCCTGTGAGGTGCCCATGTGTGAGGAGCAAATCCTGTTCCCAAATACAAATATGTAAAGTGCAAAACCTTGTATTTTGTATGTATTTGTATTGTACATATTTGTATTTGTACTCTTTCCAAACCAAGCATTTAGAACAAAACCAACTTGTTTTTTGCCCTTCAAAACTACAAATAAGAGCTTTTTTTTGGCTGATGTGACAATTCCAAAAACAAGTGAAAATAAAATGTTGTATAACACCCTATTATTTATCATGTATATTAAATAATAATTATTAACCAATTTAAACATGTCTAGCACATATGTTTTATTTTTTAGGGAAAATCCTAGATCAATATCCTATACTTTGGCTCGAGTGGTAATTTGGTCCCCAAACTTTAAAATGCGACAATCCAGTACCCGAAATTTCAATTTGCGACAATCCAATACTTGACATTAACTCAGTGTCAGTCAGGACCATCACGTGAAGTGCAGTTTAAATAATTTCATAATACCAAAATTAACCTTTATAATAATATTTAAATCATTTTACCCTTTTTCCCTTCTTTTTATCATATTCTCTCTCTTAAATTTGGGTTGAAGAAGAGGTGAGGTGGCATTCACCAACCGACCGTTCTTTTTCCCTCTTATCCAATTGAATTCTAAAATATAATCTACTTTGTGTTCAGTTCGTCACGGGGATGGATGGAAAGAACAAAAAGGTTTTTGAATCTCGAAAGACTGTGGTCACTCAGTCATTGCTGAGAAAGATGAACGTGAACCATAAGAAAATGCCAGGGCTTACAAGGAAGCACACTCTATTCATCTACAACAGTGACGATGAGATAAAAGGAGAAGAAGAGGTTGCAGAAAAAAAAATTTATCACATGGTATCATTCGTTTGAAGGGCATGCCCACTCCGAAAGAGAAGCATCTTCACTTCCTCGAAGACGAAATTAAAGAGGATAGATGGCCTTTCAAAACGAGTTAAAAATCCATACCGTCGGTTCCACGGTTTACTACTTTCTACAAGGCCATGCGGAGCAGGCTTCTTCTTCTCCAGATTTTAGTTCTCTGGCTTGCGTCAGGCACATGCATGGTTTTGTGCATAATTGTGTCGGTTATGTTCCTGACGATTCTTGATACTGATGAGGTTTTTGCAAAAATGCGTCTTGAATCGCTGGATTGATCATTTCCCGGAATGGTTTGTATGCCACTGGTTGTAGTGGGATTGTCGCAGCATGGTGACGTTGAGGATTTTGTCATTCTCGAAGATCCTGACACCAGGCGATGCAAACAATGGAGGTGGGTTTTTGGTTCCCAGGTTTTGTGTAGATTCAATATTTCCCCCACTGAACTACAAGGCGGAGCCGCCAGTACAAATGATTACAGCGAGAGATGTTCATGGTGTGATGTGGGATTTCCGATTCATTTACCCTGGGACGCCACATCGGCATTCGTTGACAAATGGGTGGAGTAAGTTCATTAATTATAAGAAGCTTGTTGCTGGATATTCAATGGTTTTTATGAAGAACCAAACTGAAGAGCTTTTTGTTGGGTAAGGCGCACTACGAGGTCAAGCGACAGTATAAACTATGTTCAGTGGAATTATCATGTTGGGTCTGTGGCTTCTCCCATTGTGAAAATGGAAGAGGGGCTTGGAAGTGGAGAGGGGTTCTCGAGGAGTAGCAGAGGCAGGGTTTCAACTGAATATGTAGTAGAGGCTGCTGAATTAGCATGAGTAAACAGGCCTTTGGAGGTTGTTTATTATGTGAGAGCAAGTTCACCGGATTTTGTGGTCAAGGCAGAGGCGGTAGAGGAATCCCTCAATACAGTGAGGTCATTTTTGTCATTTAAAAAATGACTTAAACTAGGTTACTGAAAATGAAATGGATATTTAGTGCTGACTGACGGTAAATTAACGCCAAATACCGAATTATCACAAATTAAAAGTTCAGATATTGGTTATCACATTTTAAAGTTGGAGGATCAAATTGTGCTAAAGATAGAGTACTTATCGAAAATTTTCTCTCTTTTTTTTTTTAATGTGAAAAGGCAACTCTTCATTAAAAATAGTAAAATATCTCATAAATATCTTCTATCAATCACTATAAAATACAAGAAATTTTTCTCTTTTTTTTAATGTGAAAAGGCAACTCCTCATTAAAAATACCTCATAAATATCTACTATCAATCACAATGTAAAATACAAGAGATCACAATGTGCTTTTTCTTCTATGGCTCTGCTACTATTTTCTCGGTTAAATGGTATCATGATTTGATTTCATGTGACCAAACTTACTTAATTTCGTTTTCATAATCATTGTTGAATCAAGAGTCCCACCACGTCCATCCATCGGAGACCACACAAACCATGACCATGGTATCTACTACCTAGAGACAAAATCTTTGGGCCCCGCCTGCATGAATTTCCTGGTTATTGAAAAGGTGATATCATGACATGAGATATATTTGTCTCTCCCTAGTTTCTGAAACCCTTTTTCTAGCTTCTGGTCACTGACCGTACTCCTTCCAGCTTTGCTTTCCTTTGTATCTTTTCTTCTCTCTCTCAGATTGCAATATCATGGATCCTCTTGGTCTGGTCTCCTCCTGAAAGGCTATTCTGATTCAGTGTACAGCATTAACACCATGGGTATTTTCATGCTGTTTAGACCTTTTAGTACCAAATGACAAATAAAGCCAATGTTTTAAAAAATGCATGCAGGGCAGAGTTACATTATACATTAGGGTTCTTTCCCCCTAAATTTTTAGTTACAGGGAGCTGAGGGTGAAGTCAACTAATAAGGTGCGTGGGTCCTTAACTCTTTGGCTCCTAAACGTTTATAAATAGGGGTTTTTATAGTTCAATTTACCCTTAGGGTGGAGCTAAGATTTTTAGGGATAGACTGAATCTTGCCAGTAGATTGATGTGAAATTCATGAACAGGATGCAATTTAGGGAAGAGGGGGACTAATAGTAGATTAGGAGGGGG